GGGTAATTAGAAATGAATGCAGCTGGATTATTTTCCTATTTGAAGGCATTGCTGGGTTGAGAGCAAGATCTGAGCTGATGCTCAATCCTGTTGAGAATTGCCACTGTTTAGTATGATTTGTTCACAGTTAACTGTGTACTTGGCTGTTCTGTAAGAACTTATTTTGGTCAAATTTCTTAAAGTAAAAAAACCCCAAACAAAATGTATAATTTCTTCTCTGCATTAAAATTAAGCATGCAGAATTCAGGTTCCCACAATCCTATCCAAACCCAGAATGTTAACTTCCCATACTTTGATGGATGGGAAATAAAACACAAATAGAAAATTAAAATCAATTGAAATCACATTTTGTGAATTATTGTCTTTTGCAACAGGGAACCAGCCTCTAATAATGCTTCCTAAGAGAGGAGAGTATTTGCTAAAGGATATCAGTCGATTGGGAAAGTATTGCCAAGTGCCTGTGAATTCACCGAAGGATTTGGTAAACACTGTGATAGTGAAAGGTAATGAAAGAGATTGTTTTCTCCAAATTGGTGCCAGTCAGGCATTTTGAAAATGATGGTTTCTGCCCACGTGTGGGACGTCAGGAAGTAGAAAGTCAAAGACATCCTTTTAAAAGTAAGGGTGTGTTTGTCCCCTTTTAGCATTTATACAGCTTCTCTAGTGCGTTTTTGTGTACGTCTCTACTGTCTACAGGAAGTCTGCCTGCCATGCGTTTCATCACTGCTGTGGATACAGCAGAACCTCAGTTTTTGGAGTCTGTTTCTAGAGAACTCTGGATGCGCATTTGGTCCAGGGTAAGTATTGAGGTCCTGCACAGATATGCATCTCTCTTGGCATTTCTCTGTCCTTTCAGAGGATCACTTAAGCGAGAAAGTTGAAATCATTTTAATGAAGCTTCCGTGCATGTCAGTCAACTAAGCCAAACAGAGAACTATATGGGGGCTCCAGAAATTTAAATATTCTTTAAGACCCAGTTAAATGAATAAGGTCGTTTGGCATTTCAACTATTTCTTTTCTGTCCCTATTTCCCGGCTAGGTTAAATTAGGGAAATTGGACTTATTTGTCCAACTTCATTTAGACAAGCGCCATTGTTATCCTTCATGGTTTTTGTTTAGTTTAGTTTTCTTATCTCACTGTTTCCCTGACCCATCTTATCCACAAGCTTTATTAATCAGTTACCATTTTTTTGTTTTATTAATCAGTTGCCATTTTTTTGTTTTTCCAGGATGAAGACATAATTCAGCCAGAAAGTATATTGGCAGTAAGTGTCTGCTCCTCCTCATGTTCTTCTCTTGCTCTTCTCCTTCAGGGCGGCTTAGATGCAAAAGGGCTGGTCTGTGCTTCTGGCTGGATAATTCTGAAAAGTTTAAATTGGAGAGTGTTTAGATGCCTGTTGTCCTGAATGTGGAACTCTTGTAGGATTGTCCAAGCAGAAGGGAAATTGTGTGCTTTGTTCTCTTCTTCAGTCTTTGAATTCTTTGAAGGATGTAGAAGTCTTTTATTCTTTTAAAATTAGCAAATTAGGAGAAAATAAGTTTGTCAGTAGCGTTTTCACTAGATCTGGTGCATGGAAATGCAGTTTTCCTAGGCCTTAGAGTGACTATTAAGTCCCATGTAATCTGTCCTTTACTTTTGAAAAGAATTGTGTGCTACTTATATGGAATATTATCTCAAAATCAGTAAATACTCTGCCTGTTGATTCCCTCATTCCTAGAATCTTTAGGTAGAAAAGTCTCAG